AAATGTTTTGACCTCTAAATCCCCCTAAACCCTCATAACTAAACCCTAATAGAACATAATTAACCCAAACATAAATAATATAAAAAAATTTTTTTTGAAAAAGTGGCATTTTTGTAAAGATTTCAAAAATGTGGCATTTTTATAAAGTGGCACTTGAAAATTGGTATTTTTTGAAATTTCTCTAGAATATATGGTCTAAAATTTGTCAAAATATATAGTTCCAACCATTTTGATTGATCAAAAAATTTTGACGATATTATTGGTCATAATCAAAATTTTGACCACTTTGTTGGTCAAAACTAAAGTTTTGACCATTTTTTATTGGTCAAAACGTTTTGACTATTTTCTAACCAAATTCTATTTAGTTTTGACCATTTTTTATTGGTCAAAACGTTTTGACTATTTTCTAACCAAATTCCATTTGCGATCATCGATTTTTGAAGAATCGATTTTGGTTAAGAATTAGTCAGAAATAACTGTTTTTTACCAAGTTTAGATCAAATTGATAGTCAAAATTGAAATGTTTTCTAGTTTATTGTGAATAAAATATAATGACAATGAATTACCGTTATATTCAATCAAAATATATAATATAAAAAACACATAGTTTAAACAGTTTTAGAGATGGAGACACAATGAGTCCACAAATCATCTCGCTTCTTTAAGTATAGAGTTTCTTTGGTAATTAAGCTTGGTCTGTCTGAAATGTATTTGATGAGCGTATCTTGACACACTTTTCCTTCTCCGACAAGGCCGTGGCAACATGAATCAGAGATAATACCATTTCCGAAGACAACATCAATGATATCCAAAGCACACTTAGGGGTGATTTTAACTAGACATGTATCCCACAATGTTTTTGCTTCGACTTCTTCAACAGAAAAAACAGGAACAAATGCAAATACCAAAGTTACAACGACGAATAGCATACTTATTTGAGTGCTAAGTTTTGCCATAGCTTCTTGTGATTGAGAATATAAAAAAATTTGTTGTTGTGGAACGAGAAGGGTGTAGAGAGAATTCGTTGTATTTTTTGAAAATGAAGATATGTAAGCTATTTATAAGGTGAAAACCCAAAGAAAATCTATCATAACGCATTTTAAGTAAACATTATAAATTAATGATAGTTTAATTCTCGATAATTAAACTATGAACGCTTGAATTCTATTTTGTTTTCCATTAGCGTTTAAAAAACAAAAAAGAAGATATTTAATTAAAATAATCATATTCAGCAAACTGAATGTTTAGATATTTATTGTGTAGAAAACTGTGAAATGAATTAATCATTAGAATCTTAAAGTTAAGGTCGGTCTATTAGAGTATAAGCCCAAGTTAAAGTTAAGAAGTTCATTGTGATGTC